TGAAATTAGCATATTCGAATATTCCACGTTCTCTGCTGTAAATAAATAAATGACAGATTCAACAAAATGACCTGCTAAAATAACTAAACAATCTTGTTAATCATGAAACAAAAGGCAAGTACTAGTCACCCTAATCTTTTAAACGAACCAAAGTGGAAATTTCCCCTTTAAAAATTATAGTTAAAATTGAAACCTGCAAACTAATAATGTCTTCGAAATAAAGTCATTTTTTAAACAAATGTGATTTATGATGTTTTATATTTTCCTTGTACAAGAAAAGAATTCGGTTTTATTTCGCAAAGAATATTCTAGGCTTTACGCTTATTTTTTTATTTCACAAAACATTTTCTATAAAAAAATGAATGTTTGCCACCAGAGGGCACAACAGTTAATATTTTAAATATACTTAAACAAAGCAGAGTGAAAATGGTCGGACATATATATATATATTATTGGTATGTATTAGCATCAAATACTGAGAAAAGACTTTTAGTCTTAACTTCTTTTTAAATCAAACCAAGAGAGATAAAGAATAGTTTTCTCAAAAATCAATATTACACAAAAAGAAAATTTTCCAATCTTTCAAAATCAGCGTGTTTTATTTTACCACTAAGAAAGAAGACACGTCGATAATTTATCAAATACAATTTTTGTAAATCTTTCACTCCAAACTTGCTGTACTTAAAACTAAAAAAAAAATCAACATTTGGTTCACAATTTCATAAACATATCTTTTCGATACAAGGGATTTGTTTTTATTATACTAACGTACCAACTGTGTTAGGAGTCTGTTGTTCTGAAATTACATTTGGTTCCTTACCATGATGAAACAAGACTATATACAGTACTTGTTAATTCACAGCCTCAAGTACTTGATTATTGGATGAAACTCAACTAACGTCAGCTTGGGAAATGAAACATGGCCGAAAAAGTAGTATATTTAACTTTTAATGAATATATATATATATATAGAAGAGCTGTTTGTATGGGGTAACAAAGCATTTCCGAAAGGTTAGGCTTAATACGAGCTGCTATTCAATGGTCAATCTACCAAGAACATTGTAAGATATATTAATTGTGTGTGATGTAGAGATAATCCCCCATATGTGTGGAGCCTGAATATCATGGTTTAACACCAGCAAGGTTAATTGTTTACGTTGTCACCAGTAAAAGTATTAATGAAATTAGAAGTCCATTGAGGGCGCTACGAACGACCTCCAACGAAGTAACTAGACGTCCAGAGAACTTTTCGAGATAGGTAATATTCATCCTGAAACGTTAATTTATTTGTTGTAAACTTAACAAGGGCATACAGCGGATTAAAACTTGTTAAAGCAAGTAGACACTAGTGAAAGATTTGCTTGGTGACAAAAAACAAAAAATGTTGATAATATTTGATGACACGAAGTTTGGTCAGGCATGGCCAGGTGGTTAGGGCGGTCGACTCGCAATCTGCGGGTCGCGGGTTCGAATCCCCGTCACACCAAACATGCTCGCCCTTTCAGTCGTGGGGGCGTTATAATGTGACGGTCAATCCTACTATTCGTTGGTAAAAGAGTAGCCCAAGAGTTGACGGTGGGTGATGATGACTAGCTGCCTTCCCTCTAGTCTTACACTGCTAAATTAGGGACGGCTAGCGCAGATAGCCCTCGTGTAGCTTTGCGCGAAAATCCAAAAACAAACAAGACACAAAGTTTATTCACTTACGAATATCCCTTATGCTGTTTGAAAAATGAACTTGAATTACCAAAAACGTGTTTCACATGTCTTTTTTTAGATCGTTAATGGGGGTAAAAACATTGATTAGAATCTTTCACATATATAATAAAATAACATGCTTAAATTATATGAGCAAACCATTTTCGCGCATTTTGTTGGTCGGAGTTTCGGTTCTTTTAAATGGTGTTTTATACTATTAAAAAAATGAGTGTCAAGATCCATGACTTCTTATGACAACTTTCCGATAAAGACCGAGTGTCACAATCCACGACTTCTTATTACAACTTTCCGGAAAAGATCGAGTGTCAAAATCCACTATTTTTTATTATAACTTTCTACTAAAAATCGAATATGCAAATCAATGATTGTTTCAACGTTCTTGTAAAGAATTATTATTCTCATCCACTATTTTTTATTACAACCTTTAAATAAAGATTGCTTGCTCATAACCATGACTTTTTAATACAACTTTTGTTAAAGTTTGTCTAAATATACGCCATCTTATTCCAGCTTTCTGGTAAATAGTTTCCAAATCCACAACTACTTATTCCAACTTTCTGGTAAATAGTTTCCAAATCCACAACTACTTATTCCAACTTTCTGGTAGATAGTTTCCAAATCTACAACTACTTATTCCAACTTTCTGGTAAAGACTGACTGTCCAAATACACGACTTTTAACTACAACTAATAAGTTTGCAAAGTTTGGGGTTATTTTTACTGCCTGTCCATAGATAGTCCTACAAGCTACAGATACAGCTTCCCCTTATAACATACTGCCTGTCCATAGATAGTCCTACAAGCTCAAATTGTTCTGGTATAACTTATTTTGCTGTCTCGTGTTTGTTTCTTGTTCAATAGTACCGCATATGGTTTCCAAGGATGTGTCAGGCTCGCCCTAACAAATTACATTAACACATACATGTAACAACAGACACAAATGCAGGTTGAATTACAAATTTTGGTGCTCTGTCAGAACCGGTATGGCGAGTTTTAGTAATCAACAAACCACGTATTAATTAAAACTAATGACCTGAAACAGAGCGATAAGTCTGCTGAAGACTGCTTTTCAGAACTTGAAAACGCAATAGCCCGTATCTTTAGCCTTAGACCACAAATTAAACTGGCTATCTCTATTGTAATACATACACCTGTAAACAGACATCTTTCTTCTGATGATTTCAACACTTAAAGCAGCACAATAATCACGAAACTGAACAATAAAGCTCCATATTTTAACTATTATAAGGGAAAGCTGTATCTCTAGCTTGTAGGACTATCTATGGACAGGCAGTATATTATAAGGGTAAGCTGTATCTGCAGCTTGTAGGACTATCTATGGACAGGCAGTCTATCATAAGAGGAAGCTGTAGTGCAAAATGGGTGGAACTGTTTCACCATGTCTTGTATGCTACGATAACACGCTTGACTGCTTAACAATAAGTTAATATTGTTTAATTAGAAGATGATCCGCTACTTAAAATCCAGATTGATAAATGTTCAACAGATACTTGTGGAATCCCTGATGAATGGTTAGATATTTTTTGGCATCCCTGATGAATGGTCAAATGATACCTGTGGAATCCCTGATGAATGGTTAGATATTTTTGGCATCCCTGATGAATGGTCAAAAGATACCTGTGGAATCCCTGATGAATGTTCAACAGGTACTTGTGGCATCCCTGATGAATGGTCAAGAAATACTTGAAGAATCCCATGTAAGAGATTATAGATGGTTTTACTGAATCAACAACGGGTTACATTGTGAAACTGATGAGATGTTCTATCTTAGAAAGGTTACCAACCCATTAATGAAAGAGACTTTCAAAAAGATGAAATTTAGTTTAAAACAATACACATTCATAAGGGCACCAAATCGGTAATGAAATACTACAATAATCTAATGTGGTAGGGTTTAACATCCAAGGCATCACGAGGGCATCAATTCGGTAATGAAGTAATACAATAATTCAATGCGGTAGAGTTTAACATCCAAGGCATTACGAGAGCATCAATTCGATAATGAAGTAATACAATAATTCAATGTGGTAGAGTTTAACATCCAAGGCATCACGAGGGCATCAATTTGGTAATGAAGTAATACAATAATTCAATGTGGTAGAGTTTAACATCCAAGGCATCATGAGGGCATCAATTCGGTAATGAAGTAATACAATAATTTAATGTGGTAGAGTTTAAAACCAACAGTACCACAGGGATGCCAAATAAATTTGTGAAATTTTTTATATTTTATATATGTATATATATATATAATGGATACATTTTGTAAAGTATTAGAACGATCGTAAGTGTTTTCAAACAAATATTACGTACTTAACAGAGGTTTAAATTGTTTATTCTGTCACTTCCTTTCCTTAATAGAGGACCTTTAGCTTCTAGTTGACAATGTCCAGTAGAAGGCCTTTAGCTTCTAGTTGACAATGTCCAGACGAATTTAGAAGCTAAAGGTCCTCTACTGGACATTGTCAAGTAGAAGCTAAAGGTCCTCTAACTGTTGACAATGTCCAGTAGAGGACCTTTAGCTTCTAGTTGACAATGTCAAGACGAATCAGTTTTGATCGTGGACGACGCCAGATGTTTTATCCCAATAAGTTATAATAAGTTTTCCAAAATTTCAGTGAAATAAGTAGGGTTAGATTTGGTAATTGTACATAAACATTATAGACTTTTTCTGGTGCCTTTTTTTATGTGCAGTATTGTAATGCGTGCTTATATGATGAAGTTTGTTTGAAATATGTTCTAACTTGTTTGGCTTATCATTTCCGACTTAATTTAATTTTTCCTCAGCACAAGAGGGGATTCAGACCATCCTCAATGAAAAATGTGTTTTATAACATATTTTATTATCCTCTTTGGATATTAATTATACATGATTAACTTACAATCGTGGAATTCAATAAAATTATCTTCATACACTTTAAACTAGAGTTTACTAAGACAACTAGAAAATCGTAAATATAAAAAGAATCTGTTGATAGGACAAATAAATCCAATGATTATCATAAGCTACTGTGATAGATAATACACTAAATGAATATTGCTATGACAATAAGTATAAAGACAGGATCTTTTTTAAAACTTCAAAAACACAAACTCTGCAAACAAATTCAAGTCATAACTGAACCCTTTGTATCATAATCCTTGTCTCTATGCTAAAAAGAAACAAATATAAACGTGTATACATTTTTTTCTGATTTATAAGTAAAAAAATCACTGAAATAAGAAATTTTTAGAACTATTATTTAGTATTATAAGACATGCCCTTAAAATCTTTCGAATAGCATTTCATGTTCTTGACGTTTATCTCCTGAAACGCCTAGGACCATATTTTTTCTATAAATGATAAAAGTTCGTCGTTTCCATTCTTGTTTTGTTTCTTCAACTGGTGTCTAAAGCAGATATAAGCTAATTAAAATGTACATCTCCATATAAAATAGTAAATTAATCCTTTTTTTTTACACAAAAAGTACAAAACTATGATCTGAAAAATACTTAATTTATCATTGAATTTGTAATTATAAAATCGATTGAAGAATATCAACCTAGGGATTGAGCCGGTTTATAAAGGTAAAATTAACTTGAACTTAATACCGACCTTTCTTTTCAAAGTTTCTCTTTGATTAAAAAAGATCGTCTGGCTAGTGGAGATATGATTGAAACGATTTGTCCAGAATCTGATTAAATATATTTGATATATATACAAAATGGTTGAGAGTTGTTTACGAAATAATATAGTCTATTGTATACAATTTATAGAATAAAATGTTTTATAAAATATATGTAAAGTTGACATAGTCTTCCATAGAAGTGAGTGAAAAGAAGCGTTAGGAACGCACGTGATAAACAGCAGTTTTCGCGGATATTTGACAACGTCCAGCTCATAAAGTACGCAGCGTTTACAGAATACAGGTTGAGTACGCTATATTTAAATGATTTTAGAGTCTTGCCCCATAATTACAATCAAAGTCGCCGCGTCTGTTAGGCTATCTGTCAATTGTGCAACTTGATATTAGCCCCGCAACGTATTTCCCATTCAAAAATAGTCCACCGTAATGGTTTCATATCCAAAGAACATCACTACTCCTTGTATGCTTTCCATAACTCATCTATTGTAGGAGGACAATGAATTTCTTTGCTGTCTCATCGAATAGAAATCCATAAGCATTACATTTGGCGATTCGACCGTTATGCCTTCGCATGGAATAGTACGAAAACCCGTTTCAGTATCCAGCTGCTTGAGGTACAAAACGGTTCAACGGATATGTCATGGAAGAAGCTTGTGTTCAAGCATCTTGTGTTGCTTTCTCTATAGGGTTGTCTGTTTGTACGCGGGTGGCTTTTGTCACTGACCTCTGTGTTAATGAATTCTCATCTATTAAGAGGCATGACTCGTTGCAGATCTCTTTCTGGATGACCCTGGTATCCCAAGCTGATCCATAATTCATTGTTTTTCAATACCATTAAGAATAAAGGATATCTTTGTTTCGAAAATTCTAAATACTCAATCTGAACACATCTTTATAAGCTTATGAATATTTTGCGTTGGAAAGGGCTCTTACATAACCTCTCCAAAAGCGATCAATATCCGGTGATATCTCACTATCTATATAATGCCAATCAACTTCAAAATCCATTTGTAATGCTTGTCATCCTACCACTACTGTTTGCTGCTTGCGTAGTTGAGATGGTTTTAATCCAAGGTACTCAACCTTCTGTATTAGGGTTTGCAACTCATCTTCCACGTTATAATATTTAAGTATTACAAACAGTCCTTATCAGGCTACATCTGAAGATGGTAGCATTTTATCAACTGATACAGATAGGATGAATTATAATTTAAAAATATAAATTTTAGGTCACTTGTGAAGTTTAACCACGAAAATTTTCTGACTTCAAAGAATACATTTGTGCTCAGTATTCAATTAACTCACTTCAAATCTTCTCAGTGCATCCCCACTTCTATATTTACTCCGATTCCTATCTCAACTTTCATAGTTAATTCCAAAGCACAAACACTATGAACTTATCTTTATTTTTTCTTATGGTATAACGTTAAAAAGTAACAGTTTGTTATACTCTATACTTATATGTTATAACGGAGTTTCAGTTTTCATGAAATTGACCAATCTTGCAACATCTGACTTAGTTTCGTCTATACAACCAAATAAAGAACAGTTAACCAGATGTTACCAATATTTGTTGTAAGGACTTCAACTCGTATTAACTTATGTTGCTTGTAAAAGTTCATTGTAAGAAAATGTTCTGTTGAATTTGAAACTCACCAAAAAATGAATTATCCAAATGGAACCAAAATATAAAGAATATAGCTGAACCCAACTTCCAGCTTCTTTTAACTTTTCAATTTACTAAATCTAACGAAAAAAAATTAGCGACTAGGATGTTCTTACCTGATTTTACTACTGATGACGTACTTAATCAGAGGTGGATTAAAACCGTTAAAACGGGTGGATACATCAACACAATAGGCACCCAGGCCTTCAAAATATATCCATTCTTCTTCTTTTACTTCTGCTAGGTGGATCTGATCAAAAACAATGTCCCTAGGGTCACAGGTTGGGCCCAAAAGCCTAGTTAATCGGAGAACTTTTCGATTGGAGTCCTGCGTGGTATAAAGTTAATTATTTTCTACGAGTTCTTGGCTAACATTACACCCTCACTCTCACTCTTTCTCTGACATTTACTATTAATTTGTTTGATATTGCTAGTAGGATTATTCTTTTTAAATGTTTTTAAATGTTAATAAAATTAAAATTGATTAATGTGAAACATAAAACATTGTAACTCGATAATACCCAGTAATTAAAAAATAAAGAAAATTTTCATTACTTAATAATGTATTTGGAAATTCAAACAACGAAGCTTCTGGTGGCTCGTCGGTAAGCTTAATGCGTTCTTAACGTTAGAATATGATGTTCGATCTCTGCAGTTGACCCAGCAAAGATAGTCCGTTGTGTAGCTTTGCACTTGACGAAGTAAAAAAAAATACCAAGCAAATAAGCGAAATAGCTTCTGATATGTATATATATATGTATAACAAAAGACGGTTTATGATATTGGCTCTAGATTCATTTTCTAGGAGGATTAAAGGAAGAAAAAAGATATTTCAGTACTACTTGCTGCATACAATAAAATTATTATCCAATGTGTATAGATTATTTTAGGTATGGTTTCATAGTCAATGTAAAAAAAAAAAAAAGTTAAAGAGCCAGGCTTTCACAAGTCGTTTAATTTCACATGTTTTTATCTTGAAATTTGGGCCCGGCATGGCCAGGTGGTTAGGGCGCTCGACTCGCAGTCTGAGGATCGGGGGTTCGAATCCCC